TGATGTGCATCAGTAACTCACCATGACTGATGTCAATGCAAAGTTTGAATGAAATTGGTCAAGACATGTCCAAGATACAGTTGATGACATGTTTGAATTTTGGCTAAATTGTGATGAAATCGAAAATAACTGAAAGCAACATTCAACCCATTCTATCTTGCCTTTATTCAAAATTTAACCGAAATCTGGACAATCATTATGTAAAATAAGCAGAACACTCATATAAAACAAAATGGCCACCAGTCCGCCATTTTGAATCGAATCATGAAAAAAAATGACGTGCATCAGTAACTCACCATGACTGATGCCAATGCCAAGTTTGAATGAAATCAGTCAAGGCATGTCCAAGAAACGGTTGATGACATGTCTAAATGTTGATTTTTGGTGTTTTTTGGGACAAAAATGGCCGCCAGCCAATCAAAGGTCAACCAAATCAAAAATAAATCGATGTGCAAATGTCTTCCATTATGTCTTGTCTTTGTACCAGCTTCAGAGAAAATCTGTCCATGCATCTTTGAGAAATGATGACGGAAGGATGCATGGACACACTGAACCCAAAACATAAGTCCCTGTTTCAGACTATGTCAGACGGTGACTAAAAAGACAACCCGAGGAGACAAAAAAACACAGTTATCAGTTTTATTAGACCTTAGAAGTCTGAATTACTGGTTATATATACTACTTAATTTTGTCACCAGCGTGTTTCCGTGTTCTCATCTTTGCTGGGGCTGAAACCTGGAATGCAAAACGTGTAACTTAATTCAATTTCATTCCTTGTGTTGCCATCTTTGCTATCAGTCATCAAAGTAAAATGATGTTCAACTTCACTCAATAACATTATTTAGTAAGATTGCATTTTCAAAATATTCCTGTTACTCATTAGTAAACAGCAACTGAATTTTTAAACTGATCTGAAAAATATGTCCCCATTCTGTTCAATGTACGTGTCACGTGATAACCTGCCTGGCAATTGGACTAGCTAATAATTACACTTGTGTAAATGACAGGTGTATGTTTTATTTACTTTATTCAGCATTCTTTGTTTTATGTTTGTGTGATATGCTTGTCACCATAGTAGCAAGATGGCCTTTATTTGTGCAACAGAAGGAAAAACTAGCCAACACATTTATCACAAGGCGTCTGAGAAGTAAGTCCAGGTCATGTTACATTGTTATTCCGCATTCTTTTACTTTCTAAAGTTGCGGTATGACATATACAAGCTCATTGAACTATATTTGTTTAGGTATAATTTGGCTACTAGTATATTGAAAGAGTAACAAACGTAGCTATTATTCTTATTATTTACATATTTTTAATAATGCCTTACATTTGTATACCATTGTATTACACCATTCAAAGCATGTTTACTATATAGTACATTTCTTGTGTGAGCAATGATATACTGCAAAATTTGAACATGACTATTCAAGACATCGCTCTGGAACAGTATTCATTGAAACAAAATGGCCACCAGTCGGGCATTTCAAATCTGATCAGAATGGTTCTATATTATGTAATGTATGTACAAAGTGGGGACATAGTTCATATATACACGACCAAAAACTGGTTCCGGAATGCCAGAAAATCTTTTTGGATTTTGTTGAATTTTGTAATATTGAAATCTGATCACCAAATGAATACATGTCATATCTGCAACATGATGGTATGATCCCACTCAGGAATGGCAGAAATGCTCGATTTTGATGAATTTTAAGAATAAATATGATAGCTATTCAATTCTTTAATCCAATCTTGAAATGAAAAAAGGTGCATATGCCTCCCAAGTTGAATGGATGTATGTGTGAAGTGTGTAGGTGATTGGCTCAGGAACGTACAAGATGTAGTTGGGGACACATGGACAGATGCACACATGGAGGTCAGTCCAAACGGGAATAAAAAAGATATTTACCAGCCCCAAGTAAAGTTACTGGAAAGCCACATACACTGGCAATTATTACAAACACTGGTTAAGAATAGGTGAAATGGAATGGAAAAATGAGGGTGTTGTATATAGGTTAGAACAAAATGAGGTGTTAGGTAAAAATGAAAATAATGAAGTACAAGATGAAATGAACATAGGGTGTTGAGAAGAGATGGAAATGAACATGAACATGAAATGAACATGGGTGTTATAGTTGGTTAGGTTATGTATAGGTTGGAATGACATGGGGTGTTGTGTATAAGTCAAAACAAACATGGGGTGAAAACAAGCATGAGGTGTTAAGTAAAGGCTGAAATGATCATATGTGTTCAGTTTATAGGTCACATTGGACTTTGAGTATAGAAACAAACATGGTAGAAATATATATAGGTAGAAATGAGAGTTTAGTATAGGTTGGAATGGACAGGGGTTTTCAGTATATGTGGAAGAAAACATGGTACGCCAAGTATAGATGCAAACAAGCATGGGGTGTTGAGTATAGAAATGAAAATGACGGTTTTGAATAAAAGTGGGAACCAACATTGCGGTGTTGAGTATAGATCGGAACACAACAAAAGAAAATCTAATACAGTTGATACAATTATTACAGTGAGAAATCCAAGGACAGTCACGTGTCTATTATTTACATAATGACACAGAAGTTGTACTTTGTCTTAAAATGAAATGAATCTATCTTTATTCATAATTTGCTGTAAAACATGATTGGAGATGACAAGTCTTAGTTTTTTGTTCAGTGAGTAGTCATAATTACCATCCATACATTGAAAGCCATTAGTTAGTCACACCCTTCAATGACAACAGTAATTGTACAACTTGCTTGATGATGGGAATCTTCGGATGGATGGGCTTTCTTTACACAATGGTAAAATGGTAAATCACATCATTTTTGATAGTGTTAGTTAGAAATTTGACAATAATTTAATAGTCAAAAGCTAACTTTCTTGGTGTCATGAACTGTTTAACCTCATTTTCAGTGATTGCAGCTCTGCGCTCTCTGTGAGATCTAATCATGGGTTGCAAGATATCTATTAATATTTTCTTCAGCTCACCAGTAAGCAGTTTACCACTACCGTAATCCTATGGACAAATACAGAAATGCATTAAAATATAG